TACATTAGCTACTATTTCATTCAAACCAAAGTGGTTAGAACTTCGAGTTTTTATAAACTAGCAAAGAGAGAGATGTGCTAAAAATTTTTTAATAGTCAATAAATAAAATATGTTATAAATATGTTATCCTAAATTAAATAGTCAATAAAAATAATATAATAAAAACATAATTATAAAAAAATATTTAAAATTAAATATTATTATTATATTAAATTCAATTCCATGTGTTCCATTTTCAAATTATGTTGAAAAAATAATATTTTTAAATCTACTGTTTGAAACTAATTTCACAAATTCATATAAAACCTAAGAATTAAAATAGCATTTAAAATTTCCTACTTGCAAAGAAAATAACTTGTGACAACTTACAATATATAAAAATCAAAAAAATAATGATTTATCCAACTGATTTGGGGGAAATCATTATGTTTTTTCCTTCTAATATTAAGTAACTAAATAAGGTTTATTTTTATTGCTTTTGTGAATAGATGAGACTAAACATGAGGTTTATTTGATGGTTAAAAGTCAAAAAAAATTATTTAAAAATTGATTGTGGGCTTGATAAAATACAATATGAATTATATTGTGTAGTGGAAAGAGAAAGATTAAAAAACTAGGTAAAATTCATCTATCATTGTGCAATAGCTAGTCCTGTTGGTATGTCATTACACTCTTAATAGTACAAGTTTGCAATTTTAGTTGTACTCGTTATATTTTTTGAATCTTTTAATTTTGCCATTGAATTAGCACAGAAGGATGAGGTGCAATCACAAATATACATATTTTTAGGTGTCAAAGTATGAATTTAACAACAATGATTCCAATCACATAGTATATCATTTAAATAATATTGTTTACATTATATGTTTAAATTGTGTTTTTTATATTAGCTAATCAAACAATATATTCATTAATTTAATGATAACTTTTGTTAATTGATGATTTTATTTAATTAGTAAATATTGTGATTTAAAATTCAAATATTGATTTGAGATAAGTTGACAGTGAAAAAAATCATTAGCCAATTAAATAATTGAAAAATTATCAAAGTCATGTTTCTTTAGAAAAATGATTTTTCCAAAATTAATCATGACTTTTGAAAGTATTTGAAAATTTTGAAATACTATAATTTGAGTAGGATAAGTTAGTAATATCGATCAATATATTTGGCCATTTTAAATGGTCAACATAAGGTAATTAATAATAAAAAGGTTTTAGGTTTAAATTTTAAATTGTAAGCACAATAACTTAAAATTCCAATACTTAGTTATTTGATATTTTATTATTAACAGTACTAATTCAAAATTTTCTCTTGCTTATATATTATATCAATTATAAATAAATAGTAGAGGTTTATCTATTTCATTTTACACTTTCAGCTTTGATTAACATCTATAACATTAATAAATCTATTTTGTCTATGCACCTTGGCTGGTGCTTGTACTATTTTGCATTTATCCATCCTTCTTTTAATAAGCATTTAATTAATTATATCTAGGATGTAATGTTTCACATGTATAATCAAGGGTTAGTAGTATTGGTGGTGGCACTCTTTTAAAAGTCAATAGCTTCAAAACATGTTCAAGACTAAGTAGGTAGTGTAAAAATTTGGTTAATGTGGTTTTGAGCATCTAACTTTGTGATATGAAATAATTTTAAAATGAAACTTATGTCATGAGTTAGTTAATTGAATAAGCTTTTTGTAAATACCTAAACTACCTCAATCAGACGATGGAAGGAGGTTTATGACATGTTAGAAGTCTAGCCTTAAAGATTTGTAATTTGATAGCAAAATGTTGTTTTAGAACTATGTAGTGCGTTGTGAAACACGACATAATGTTCTTGGCTGTGACGCATCATGTCTTGGCCACAGTGGACAACTCTTATTAAAATTTAACTTTTTAAATCTTGTTTTTAAAGATTTATGTTTGTAACTGATATCCTATGCTTACAAATATTTGCGAATTCTAATATTTACTTGATTTTTAGATTTGGAATGATTTTAGTTATATTTAAACTCAAGATTTCATTGATTAAGATGGTTTTACATTATCAAGTATGGGTTTCAAACTTTGCTAATATACTAAAGAATTATTACCTAGTTTTAAACTATTATATCATGGTAGAATCTAAAGTGACAGGGACCTTTATATTTTTATGATATATAAATTAATTTAATAAGTTTAATTATAATAATCATCGTATATCTTTGAATTGAGTTTTTTTCCCTTTCTACTATAGTTTGTCCTTTTTATAACTATAGTTAAAGGATCTTCCATGGTCAATTACTTGAGATGAGTTTCCCTAATTAGCATGCTAGATTATAATTAATATGATTAAGTATGTGGATTAATTCGGTGATATTACAACTACACCTTATCTCCTCCTCATACTATGCCCATAATCCAACTCACCTATCAAAAGATAAGTTAGTCCAAGTTATAATCTACTCATTGGATCCAATGAGAGCATATCATGTAGTAGGTAATCTTTGAATAAAAATTTCTATCGTCATTCCAAACCCAACAAGTCATGCAAATTATATTTCTATCTGATCAAGAAAACATATCGAAACAAGTGTCATGCTTCCAAACACAATAATACATATCGAACATAATTATATATAATTTCATCCTACTTGGCAATAAACTTTTCAAACAAAATACATACATGTCCAAACATAATATTTGCCATATAACATTTATCTTCAACTAAGTACCCACACAAGAAATCGCAAAACAAATACTATAACAAATTGGTAGATGTTATCTTTACTCCTTATTAGTAAAGCTCACTAAACAAGCAAATTATCACCTCCAATGGTGTCAATACCACAAATCTACAAACAATATAATAGTAATTATCATTAATACAGCGCTAATAATTGCTAATACAAGTGCTTAGATGCTAATCACACCCTAATCTAGGGTTATGTTAATTAATTTTATTAACATAAACACTTCCCATATACTTTAATCATCAAATTTAATCCCATTAATCATAATTATACCTCTTAACCACAAATCTACTCTTTACATCCCAAACATTACTATCAAAATTCATATATATCAAATCTATAGTTTTTGATATAATCATCCCATAACTATAAACAACATCAAAACTACTTAAATAACACTCATTATTTCTCAAACAAGCCTTAAACTTTGAACCCAATGGCTGGGCACTCCCCAAAACGAAAATCCTATCCAAACCCATGGTAGTGTCTGGCTTAAAGTGAAGAAAAAAGGGTAAAGAAGTTAGGGGGGTTATCTTAACACATTGGAGCTCTAAAATCAAGTTCTAATGGAGGAACCACTAAAACTCTAGCATAGAGCAATATTTTCACATCTCAAACCTCTCTAAACTTACTTCTTTTTCTATTCTATCAGGTGGCAAAATGAAGATTTTAAATTTTTGGTCATAAGCTGTGGCAAACACACATATGTCGCGATGCATGACATAGATATGGTCATTTCACTTAACCCACAATTGTTGAGTCAGATTTGGCCTAAAATCTATTTTGGACGCTAATTAACACTCATACATGATTCTAGGCATAATTTTAAGTATAATTAAGTTCCTAAGTGTTTGATTTACCTCAATGAACATCAACCACAAATCAATTCAACCTCAAAGTAACAATAAATTTCAATTTAGATCCTCAATAAATATGATTAAATTCCTAAACAAAAATTAAGATGTTACAGGCTGCCTGGCCCTTATGCATTTAGCTCGCATAAGCCTAAAAGCTATGTTCCCCTTAATTTTGCATTTTTTTAAAGCTTGGCCTGAATTATGAGAGGCTCAAGGTTTGGCCCTAAAGTCTGGAATTTTTTAAAACTTTTTGTTTCATAGAATCCAATTTAATTCTTAAATATTCAAAAAAAAAAATCAAAGTACAAATTTCATATTTAAAGTACAAATAAAAAGAAAAGGTCACACAAATATTCTAAAATATCCCACATTTGAACTAGAATCTTGAGCTGGAAAAAAAAAAAAGAAAAGAAACAACCTCAAGCGCTGGAGATACTAATCCGACACTGGCATATTCATCTTCATTGCTTAAAATAAATAATGGACAAATTATGTCATTTTCATGTTTTCATCCAAAAATGTAAATATAAGACGATAAAACATTAAACTTCAGGACGGTTAAAGTTTTCCAGGGAAACAGAAGTTAAATGCAAGAAATATATGGTTTATGCCTCGTTTAAGTTGAGCCGCCACTTCCTGGAGCCTGTTGTGTGTAAGAAGTATCCTTTGTTCATCTGGTGAGATTTATGAAAGATACATGGTAATACTGCGATACAAATAAAATGAACAAATGGATGGCATCACTGCTGTGTTCATATTTGTTTAAATTTGTTGGCTATCGATTAGTAACTACATATAATTGGGGTAGCCAAACCTAGGTATATTCAATTATAGAACTTGTGTAATTGAACCCACATGAAACTTGCACTGCTTTCCATTTTCTCCGATAGAAACCATTGCTGGATTTATGTAGTCCACATCATTGATTCAACTAGAGATCTCATATACCAGGATTGAGAGTTGAAGGTCAACTACAGCTGTAGAGAAAGCTTCAAATGTGCAGATCAAATGGCAAGACTAGGTCATTTTTCTAGTACTAATATCACAACCTTTTTGGTAGTTTCAGCTGAATGAAGTCAGATTTTAATGGATGACTTTAGTAACAGTTTTAATCTATTTTGGCTTGTACTCACTTTGAGCTTTGCTTGCCCTTTTATTGGGGGAAAAAAAAAGGAAGAGAACGGTTAAAGTTTGAAACTTAGGCCTTTGTGGGGAAAAAAAGATTTCCAGCTAGCTTAAGCCCAGCTTCCTTTTTTTTTTTCCCCTTAAAAATGTAAAGCTTGAGCTCTAAAGCCTTATTGTTTTCCCCCCCAATTTTCTTAAATCCAACTAAATACAAAATACCAGAAAAATAGGCTCGGCCCGAATCCCAAACTCCATTCGCAATTCTTGTGCGAGAGCTTTGCCAAAAAAAGTAAAACACAGACGATGCCTGGGTGAGGCCATATTCCTAATTTCCGAATTTGGCGGGAGTAGAACTCCTTGTTAAAATATAAACTGCTTGATATTCTCCATAATGAACTCCATGGCTGCAAGGCGAACCACCATGGACGACGAAGAAATCGGAAAAGCCGCAATGTTGCAATCGAACACTAACGCTTACGCTCAAACGCAGGCTCGCCGGAAGGGCATCGGAGTAAAGGTGTGGCTCGTCGTGTCGGAGACTGGGCAGTCACATCTTGAGGAGGTTGAAAAGCACTCCATCATGAGGCGTACCGGCTTGCCGGCACGTGATCTTCGTGCTCTTGATCCGATGTTGTCATACCCATCCTCCATTCTGGGACGCGAAAGAGCCATCGTCATCAATTTGGAGCACATTAAAGCTGTGATTACGGCCAAGGAGGTCCTCTTGATCAATAGCTCTAATACATTGTTTGCTCAATTTGTTCAAGATCTTGAAACTCGCGTTTCTACTTCTAATGGAGTGCCCATACAAGTAATTCAAAGCCCTTTCTTTCGATTTTCATCCATCACCGCCACCGTGAGATATTTTGATTTTCGTCATAATTTTATATTCATTTCCAGGGATTAAAGAACGTTTCCGTCAATATAATTATTTCTCATCACAGCAAATGCTGGAAATATAATACCTCTGTTCTTTACGTTGAAATTATGCTAGTATAGAATCGTTTAGATAAGCTTATGTTCTTTCCTGAATCAAAAACGAAAATCAAAACACCTGAGTTGAAAAATATTTATTTTTAACGTTTATGGTTTTTTCTTTCCTATCAAAAGCAGTCGTTAATTTATAAAATTCTGCTTTTCGAACAGGTTTGATCAAAGTCCCATGCCGTGTCAAATCATTTTTTACCGTCCAATACAACTAATTAATTAGGATACTAGTGAGAATTCATGAATTCCGACCTGCATTGTGCAGATGAGTAAAGAACAGGATACTGAGTCCACAAGCAATCATCTGCCTCCTTCCTTGCGCAGTCGTCGTCATTCCCAAAAGAATTCAATCAAAGGAACGTCTGAGATTATTAATACTTTTTCAGATACGTCAGATGTTGATGTTAAAGAGGAAAGCCACAAAAGTTCAGATGATGAGCCAGTGGCTGCAGCTCCTAAGCAGTTGCCTTTCGAATTCAGAGCACTTGAAGCTTGTCTTGAATCTGCATGCAGGTGCCTTGAATCTGAGGTGTGTATTATATTATGATTATTTGTTCATTTGGCACTTTCATATCTCTAATCACGCTGTTTATGGCGCTTTTTTTTAATTGGGGGGGGGGGTGTTGTTCATCGTACTAAAGGCACAATGGGTTATTTCTTTTGCATTAAAATAAAGAAATTCCTCTCTCTAGATAAAAGATTCTGCCTCGAGTTACCCAACTCTGATTCTCGTACATAGATTTATCATTAAACTGAGACAGTTGAATGGTATTGGCATGAATATCTATAGATATTCTATTCTCGGTGCATACTCAAAATGAGAATAGTGAACACCGGGACAATTACCGATATCAGCTTATAACTAGTCAAATGATGGGCCAGGATTTGGAAATCTGTGATTTCAGATTTGTTTTTTTTTTTTAATTTCTCTGTGGTAAATGGGATGCTTATCCTTTGAAATTCAGGTGAAGATAATCCTTGTATAATTTTTCCTTAGAGAGCGTATTAGCGTCGGCGTTATCTCTCCCTTTGCCCAAAACTTTTAATCTTTTGGCGACATTGCGCTACAAAGTTCCCTTTGCATTTGCGTTTTATTATTTTGGTTACGTTTCCCGATTTCCTTCTGTCATTATATGATGTATATAATATGCCCGGAACCTGCTTCTGTTTCTGTACTTAAATGCTTTGACCTGCATCAGACTCATACATTGGAAGAAGAGGCTTACCCAGCTCTAGATGAACTGACTTCTCAAATTAGCACCCTCAATCTTGAACGCGTGAGAGAGATCAAGAGTCGTCTGGTTACACTTTCTGGTCGTGTGCAGAAGGTAGATAATCATTGTGAAATTTTACGGAAATTTTTTGTCCTTCATTAATCATGCCTGTCACTTGTGCTGGTTCATGTTTTAATAATGTTTCCTAGACTTCCACGATACATTTATTTATAATTTCTTCTCTGATCTTGGATTTCGCAGGTAAGAGACGAACTCGAGAATTTGTTAGACGATGACAATGACATGGCTGAAATGTACTTGACGCGAAAGCTTGCTTCTCGCTCCCTAGATCAATCATCGCCAAGAGAAGTTTCTTCAATTGAAGAAGATGACAAAATGTGCAAACTAATAGCCAACTATAATATTTAGTTTTCAATTCAGAAAAAAACCCCTCTTCCATCAGAAAATATTTAAGTTTTATATTACACATTTACGCTACATTAAGGTTGAAACATGACAAATGATGTTTAACTCAGCGCTGTTGTTTTGCCTGCAGAGCTGAAGATTCCAATTCAGAACACTCTGATATTTCTTCCACTGTTAAGCCCGACGTTGAGGAATTGGAGATGCTCATAGAAGCATATTTTGCACAGATAGATGGCATATTGCAAAAACTGTCCGATGTACGTATCTCTGGAGCCTTCTCCTTTCCTATCTTCCTTCCAATTCTAAAATCTCTATACAGATGAATTTGTACACTTACTGATATATATCTATCACTGGATAAAAGATGAGCGAGTACGTGGACGACACAGAGGACTGCATCAACATCATGTTGGATGATAAGCAGAATCAGCTGCTGCAGGTAGGAGTAATACTCAATACAGCAAACATGATACTAAATGCCGGCATCGTGGTGGTAGGTTTGTTTGGGATGAATATTCATATCAGTTTGTATGAGGGAACAAATAGACAATTCTGGGAAATAGCTTTGGGCACGCTTGGAGGCTGTATTGGATTATATGTTATAGCTGTTGGATGGGGCAAGAAGAGATATTTGCTGCCTTCTTAGAGGAGACCAGACCGCCAGTGATCCGTGGGACAGATGTGTTGACATGTATATAATTGGAATAATCACATCCAAGGACCCGCCAAAAACCTCATTTATAGGCAAGGATTAATATAGAATAGATTATTATTAAAATAGAAACATGTATTTTTTTTTTTTGAATGGGACTTGTTTGGTGAATAAATTTCTTACCAAATTTTTGGATGTGATTGTCTCTATACAATTTTGCCAATGAAAGGTAATTTGTATTATAGGCTGTTAGTTTGACCTTCCATTTTTGGCATAATGGGAAGTGTCACAGAACATAAAGGATGGCGATCCATATTTATCACGTCTTTGCTAACAAGGATTTGGGAAAGGGATGCTTGCTACTTGCTAGATAATAAGAAATTACCACCTTTAACATGTGGGGATTCAATTTTAAAGAGGGAGCTTTTATCAACTTGGAAAGCTTAGTGGGGAGCGGGCTGCTTTGTAAAGCTTTAGAAGGAAAAATTTGTACAAAGTAACACTAAATAATAATATTGTCAGATTTTTTTATTTATAATTCACAATTATTAGTGTGAATTTAACTACTTACACATATTTAAAAGATTTTTTTTCCCCAGAATCTAACTGCTTACAATATATAGAGGGACAATGGAGTGCTCCCCAGCACCAGCATTTAGAAGATTTTTTCCCCTTTTGAAAACTCAATTGCACAATTTTTTAAATTATTCATGACTAACAAGCGCTTCAAGTCATTTGTCTTGGTATTAAAAATATCTCCACTTCTCCACCTTGTATTTTCAATAATAAAACAACTGTGTTACATCAGTTCATCACTAATAATTTATATAAATATCTTCAAGCCAAAACAAAATTATATAAATATCAGTATAAATATATATAACCAGATCTTAATAAGCTATGCTATTTAAAATATTTTTAGTTAGTAAAATATAATTACAACATAAAAATTACAACTTCGAGACTAAACGTGATTTGTATTAAAATGCAATTTTCATACACATAAATATATTAATTTTTATATTTTTATGGGAAAATTATAATGAAGGACTTGGAGAAAATAACGCTTATTAGAAAGGATCTTAAAAACAGTTATTATTGAGACAGACTAAATATCAAAATTTAAATTTCAAAATACTATATTGCCCTCATCTCTATTAAAAATTCACAAGTTCAGAGATTGAAATAACACATTCTTAACAAAATTGAATAATTCTTTAAAATTGAATAATTCATTAAAAGTAAATATTTTTTAAATTATATTTTTAAAATTTTAAAAGTAAAGACTTTAAAAAATTATGTTGATTCAATTATTTGAAAGTAAAAAAATTTTAAAATTATATTGTTTTAATTAAATTGTGAAATTGAAAATTGCACACTCTTATTTTTAAAAGAATATTTTTTGTAACTTGAACAGTACCCTATGTTAATTTAATTTACTTTTTTTTGGATAAAAACCCTATGTTAATTTTAAGGCTAAAAAATTTTATACTAAAGTTATAATAGTCAATTGCATTTATCTTAATCTTTTATAATACATTTTAATTGTATTAGATTCCTCTCCTTAATTTTTTCTTATTTTTATTTTGTTTCCACACAATAATTTACTCACCGAACCGTTTATGGGCAATCTTCTGGTTTCAGTTGGAACGAGCTTTTCTCTTCAACGCTCTTGTCAAAGTTTTTGCCCAAACCAAAATTTTAATATCCTAACGGATTTTTGGCTCTTCTCATCGTCACATGCTCATGCTCCCCACGCACTGTGGAAATGACCAAAGCAACCCAAGCACCATGCTGTCATCGAAAATTTAGGACCGCCAATTTATCCTCGCTAAACGACAGAACCAAAACTCGTGGCTACGAATAACACCCGTTGCAGCCCATGAAGAAAACGGATCCCCTACTTCTCACTTCTACTTCTCCCATCCTGCAATGCGTCTCAGTTGGACTCGGGTTATCTTAGCATCCCACATGAGCTCATGATCACTTGCAGAGCTTCAAGCACCAATGTTGGAGCTCAATGCCCTCCGTGGTTACCATCGAAAGCAAACCCACGATTTCTGAGGAGCCATTTCCCAGGCAATTCTTCTCAGCTTGAGAAGGGTTTTGTGTTCTCCTCGACCAAGAGGGTCCAATGGAAACCAGAAGTGACTTCTCTGGCAACAACAATCGCTATGACAGAAACCCCGGGAAGGAAGGCAATGTTAGGCCAGAAGATGTTGAGCGTGAGGTGCATTGTGAGGTCGAAGTGATATCATGGAGGGAACGGAGTGTTAAAGCAGAAATCTCAATCGATGCAGATATCGAATCCGTTTGGAATGCTCTCACAGATTATGAGCACCTAGCTGATTTTATCCCAAATCTTGTCTGGAGGTATTGAAGATAAAAGTGTAACTTTTTGTGTATTCTATAGTACGATGTCAGTGGATTATTTGTTTATTATAATTATTATTTTTTTTGTTAGTGGGCGAATTCCTTGCCCTTATCCAGGAAGGATATGGTTAGAGCAAAGGGGCTTCCAAAGGGCAATGTATTGGCATATAGAAGCTCGCGTTGTATTGGATCTTCGAGAATTCATCAATTCAGTAAGCATCTGTTCAGTACAGACAGTTGTTATTTACTTATGAAACCTAATATAGCAGTGGACCAGTGTTTACTTAAGCCACTGCTAATGTTTTATTGAAAGGAAACTTGTATTTCCCTCCCTGGAAGCTTTATTCTCGTAATTGCTAATTGCCTGTGACCTATGGGACCGATAGCCGTCATTTGAACCTTGCCCGCTTGTTTTCTGTTACTGTTTTTAAATTTGAATAAATTTTGCCAAGAGTTCCTGCATTATAATTCCTCCTCCTCCTTCTTAAATTTGTTTCTGTAGTATTTTGTGGATTGAAGTGGTTTTTGATGTTTCTTTCAATGTTTCTTGGGATTCATGATTAGAAGGGGTAAGGATAAAAGACCTGTCATGATACAAGGCTTCTCTAAAATGGGCCAAAGAGCAGTATGGCCTGGGGAATCAGATAGGCCCAAAAGGATGTCCAAAGGTTGAAGCAACATAGGTTATACAAGCAGAGGGTACCGTGAGAAGGTGGTGTGAAGAATTTTGTGAAGTCTCTCACCAATTGTCACGAACTCAAGTATTTACTTAAACCATAAACAGAACTGAACGGTCTTAAATGAAAATTCCAATGCAAATGATAGGTTGAAGAACAGATAAAAGGGGAAGAGACTAAAAAGTTAAGGAATATCAAAACTAGGGAACATAAGGGAATGGCAGTACATAACTGCAGATGAAGAAGGAGAAACTCCAGAATCACAATGACAATAGCCGGGGGGAAGAAGAGACAAGTCATAGAGGAGAGACTCAACAAAATTCTTCACACCCCCTTCTCATGGTACCCTTTACTCATAGAACCCATGTTCCTTCAACCTTTGGACATTTTTTGGGCCTATCTAATTCACCCGAGCCCATACTTCTTTTTGTTCCATTTTAGAGAAGCCTTGTATCATGACAATATCTATGTGAAAGAAACTTCTAATATTACATATACTTTTGTTTTAATGCTTCAGGCATGTGATCGAGAACTTCACTTTTCCATGGTTGATGGAGACTTTAAGAAGTTTGATGGCAAATGGTCCTTAAAATCTGGAACAAGGTAGAATCTGCTTCTAAAATCCAGTACTTAAGAAACAGCCTTTCTTCAATCTGAAGATAAAATTTTCTAATGATTATTTCTAAACTCATTGGACATGCCAAGATTGCCTCGATCAAAAGGGTTTTGAAAGTGTGCTTGTCACTCTAATGAAGCTCACATTGAAAGGTCGAATGAAGCTCTAGTCATTGACAAGGATTTTCCTTCAGGGTTTTATCAGGAGACCTTTATGATAAAAACTAAATATTGATATCTGCTGATTTCACGTGTGATACAAGGAGGTTCAGATACCATTTGGGTGTTTTCATTGAATGTTCTGGGTGGTACATTTTGCTTTAGGATGGACCAAAATGCAGTGAAAGATTCCCCCCCCCCCCGGACCTTGAAGCAGCACTATTCAGTATCTGATTTCCAATGATTTTATGACATACATGTAATGAAGGATGTGGGGATCGAGGAAAATTATAATGACAGACAACTTAGTTGATTTACATTGTGCAATAATGTGTCTGATAGAACAATGAAGCTCCTTGCTGCCCATATGTTTACTATCCTAGGTCAAGTAATTACATTCATTCAGTCATCTCTTAATTTATTGGTTATTATTAACATAGAATTATTAAATAACATTGTGGATTTACTTTTCTATTTTCTCTCAATTCCGTCTCTTGTAGGTCATCAACAACTATTTTGTCCTATGAAGTTAATGTGATACCAAGATTCAATTTTCCAGCTATTTTCTTGGAAAGGATTATCAGATCAGATCTTCCTGTCAACCTTCGAGCCTTGGCTTATAGAGTTGAAAGGAACTTGTTTGGAAATCAGAATCCTTCAGTAGCAGAAGATTTCTTGAATAAAGGTTCTGTGGCTATTAATGAGTCGCCTGGCAAAAAGATAAATGGTACTTTGCATGAAAGTGATCAATTGTCTCCTGGAGAAAGCAAAGACAGTCTTGCCAGCTCAATTTCTGGCTCCTTGCCTGTAGCTTCCTGTGAAGTCAACAGCAATTGGGGTGTGTTTGGAAAAGTTTGCAGACTTGACAAGCCTTGTGTGGTAGATGAAGTTCATCTCCGCAGATTTGATGGACTTTTGGTAAAAATTTAAAATTGGTACGAGTGAGCATTATTCTGATGATGTGCTTTCCCTCTTGCCTGGTAGTAATAAAATTATTTTAATGTGAAGGAAAATGGAGGTGTTCATCGTTGTGTTGTTGCAAGTATCACTGTTAAAGCTCCTGTCCGTGAAGTATGGAATATTCTGACTGCCTATGAGAGTCTTCCTGAGTAAGCTATTTATGTGTTTACTTTATTCTAGAATTCACCAAATTCTATTGAAAAGTGTTTAGTAAAATTTGTATATATCTTATGTTTCATTTTCCTAACTTGATTTCATGTGAAATCACTGTGTAGGATAGTTCCAAATTTAGCAATCAGCAGAATTTTATCCCGAGACAACAATAAAGTTCGTATTCTTCAGGTATGAGGCAATGCGAATGAAGCACTGGTGTAGGAGTGAGAACAATAACTGTATAGTTTGTTTATGAGCACTTGATTGACGTTACCAACCAATTCTTCACCCTTACCATCTACTGTTAAAACTTGATTCCACTTTTATCTATAAAATGTGCAATTGATATAACTTCTGGGTTTAATCAATGTGCAGGAGGGATGCAAGGGTCTGCTTTATATGGTACTTCATGCTCGTGTGGTGCTAGATCTGCGTGAACATCTTGAAGAGGAGATCAGTTTTGAGCAGGTTGAAGGGGACTTTGACTCATTTCAGGGAAAATGGATTTTTGAGCAACTAGGGAATCATCATACTTTGCTGAAGTACTCTGTGGAGTCAAAAATGCGTAAAGACACATTCCTTTCTGAAGCAATCATGGAGGAGGTTTGTCAATTAATTTGGCATGCATAGAATTTTAAGTTTTTTGGGGGCAATCTGCCTAGGTTATTTCCAATAATTTAATAAGTCTAGCACCAGAAAAAGAAGCTCACACATGATCCAGTCCAACCTGGATCAATGTTCTGATCGGAACTGAAAGAAGCTCAATTATCCAAAAATACATCGTACTATGTTTGACCTATGAAGAAGTAGGATATATTATTTTGTATGTATCTTTGTTCTTTTTTTAAGCTTTCTACCCTCATACTAGTATTAGATGCGTTCTGAGGTGTAAGCTATGATTTGAATCCCTGAATTATTATTGATACATTCATGGCTTATCATTTAAGGTTATTTATGAAGATCTCCCATCAAACTTATGTGCAATAAGGGATTATGTAGAGAACAGAGAGGCATCCAATTCATCAGAAGAGAGTGAGCAGGAAAGCGATTCAATGCATCACGTTGTTTCATCTGACTTTGAACCAGACAATGGATATAGTTCACCTGGGGATATTTCTAATGATGATGATGAAAGTTCATCACATCAACAAAGGCCAAGGGTTCCAGGCTTACAGAGGGACATTGAAGTTCTAAAGTCTGAAATCTTGAAATTTATTTCAGAACATGGGCAGGAAGGATTTATGCCTATGAGGAAGCAACTACGTCTGCATGGTAGGGTGGATATTGAGAAGGCTATAACTCGCATGGGCGGCTTCCGGAAGATAGCAACGATAATGAACCTATCTCTGCTTACAAACACCGCAAACCAAAGGGTTACTGGGACAATTTTGAAAATTTGCAGGAGGAGGTGGGGTGCAGAATTTCCAATCTAGTGACATGAAGTGAATACCCTTGATTTTTTCCCACTCAAATGGTCTCATTTGATTTTCTACTTGGCTTTTCCCAATATCTTGCCTAAAGCTTAAACAACATAATAAATCATCAATATATTGCAACCATGAGACACCATTACAGTTTTTCATTATACTCAATTCTTGCAGTTATGGCATAATTGACACCTCTGAATGCTCCATTTCTCTGTACAGATTAGTCGATTCCAAAGGAACTGGGGAATGGATCCTTCATTTATGCCCAGTAGAAAGACATTTGAGCGTGCAGGTAGGTTCAACATTTTGATTTCACTGCTTGCCATAACTATATTTTGCTCCCTTCCCTAGCAGATTTAAATCATAGTTATTTAGAAACTATTGCCATTGGCTATATAAACTTGTCCACTTCACATTTTAACCAGAGACATGGAATTTCTCACAGGACGCTATGATATTGCTCGTGCACTAGAAAAGTGGGGCGGTCTGCTTGAAGTTTCTCGCCTTCTGTCTCTTAAGGTGAGACATCGAGGCAGACAAGGCACACTTGCCAAGGACAAGAGAACTGATCATGTAGAATCATCACCTCAAGTATATGATGCGAACAAGACCCCATTTAAACCCTGTATTTCTCAAGATACACATAAGTGGCTTTCCAAGCTAAAACATATGGACATAAACTGGGTAGAGTAAATATCGCTTAGCTGGCACCTCTCTTTTCATTTTACAGCTGAGGTTTCCACTCCTCAAATGGATGTCTGAATGGATTGATTCCCATCTCAAATATTCTTTTGCAACGTAGTTGCAAGTTTAAGAGAATATAAAACGTTGCATGGCCTTATTATTTACAGGTTGCTTATGACAAATATTTTTGAACTTTAATATAATGTTTGGTGAGGAGAGAAATATTTTTAAAAAGAAAATGGAAAATGCACCTATTTCATTTTTTCAGGTGCATTTCTTATTTTTTTTTTAGAAAATGTTTTTTCGCGTGCCAAGCATTGCTTAAAAGTCTTCTTTCTTGTCTCTTGCATGATTGATGATCAGGCATGTTACAACTTTGCGATTTACGGTTAAACTAATGTTAGTCTCCCTCTAGATTTTGAAAAATAAATTAATACTTTTTAGAGTTTTTATGTTATATATAGATTTATATGAAGATGTGGAGGATAATGAGAGGTAGATTGAGATTTCATATGTAAGAAATAAGTAATAAAAGGAACTTATACTTGTTAACATTTTCAGAAACAAATTTTAGCTTAAATTATATGTGTAATTACATAAGCAAGTTTCATATTTCCTCTGTTAAAAAATATAAGGCATTTTTAATTAAATTTCATCTCTAATAAAATAGTTACCTACTTTTAAACTAACTTTATTTTTTTATATTTACCCCTGTTAAACATTTTATAATAAATATAAAATCACTATTCATAGGGTTAGTTTTGAAAAAAAGACAATGATTATACCTCAAAATACTAAAAACGTCCTACATTTTTTAATATCAAACTCTCAAAAAATGTCTTATATTTTTAAACAGAGGGAATATATGTCAGGAGATAATGGATATCTATTATCAAATTATCTTTTTATTAAATTCATTTTATGTAATCTTTACAACTATAAACAATATCATTTAATTAATGAAAAATGGGGCATTTAAATTTATATACTTAATGTATTTTTTTTTTGTGGAATCAAATTAAATTCTAAGTTAAAACTAGTATTAGTTAAAAAATAATTGAGAGTTTTGATTATAAAGAATGGTTAAATTCATTATTCGATGTAATATAAATAAAAAAAATGAAAAAGACATCTTTTTGGGATCTATTTATAATTGAAAAAAAATTTTATTTGTCCATAAAAAATATAAATATTATTTTTAAAAATCTAGCTTATATTAAAAAAATGAATATTGATGAAAGACCTTAAAAAAATTTAATATTTGACAAGAATTACGAACAAGTAAATATTAATATATTGACATGTAAATTTATTGTTTTAACAAATATTGAATATATCCAGACTTTTTGTCAAATATTAATTTTTTTCAAGGATTGATTGATATTTTTCATTATCGATACAATGTTATTGGCTATAGTAGGTTTTAATTTTTTTTTTTTTAAGCTTAAGAAGTAGATATCAACGAAAAAATGATCTTCTCTAAGATATGAAAGACAAATGATAAATCCCTCCCAATTAAGGTATTGCATATATAAAGATTATGATTTGAATCCTCAATTACTTATTTAAGTAAAGAAAATCCTTACCATTCATGCTAAAATTAATTGGTTATTGGCTATAGTATTTTAATAATTACCAATAAGGCTAAAGCGACTGGTTAAATTTGTATTTAAATATTTTTATGGTTAAAAAATAATATTAATCTCTTGAACTTATTTATAATTTAAAAATTCAGTCAATATTAATTTTTTATAAGATATTTTTTTGTAATTTTCTAAGTTATTTTTTATAATTTTTTATGATTTTTTTATAATTTTTCAAGTAAGTTAAAATTAATTTTTATTAATAGTTTTGCTAACATTTTATCTGATTCCAAACGTTAAAAAGACATATTAAACTAAAAAATTTAAAATTCCAAATGTTTTTAAACCTATAATTTAAGACAGTATTGCCCTTTAGCTCCGAGCATGATCCATGAATCTTGTGTATGCAGAAGCCAGTGCGAGGGGGGAAAAACAAAATATATATATATATATATATATATAAAGACAAACTCCCAACAAAATAAATTAATAAAATTAGTTATAACCCAACCAAAACGCAACTTCGTCGAAAAGTGGCAGATCCATTTTTCTTCGTCGACGAACAACTATTCCCCGCTTGGTCGTGCTCGCCTTCCACCGTTTTCAGCCCTTCGTGGTTGTTCTCCCGCAAATATTGAAGAAGGTTCGAACCTAGGGCTTTGTGGCGCAATCGTTTGAATACTGACACTTCCTTTTTGAATGAATCTGTGCCAATATGTTGCTCAAAACCAAGAAAGTTGGCTTAAGGACGCTTTTAAATCTGGGAATATTTACATACTGAATTTAAATTTTCTTAACTTTGATTACTAGTTTTTGCTTGAATGGTGTGTATTTGGCTATTATACTTCTGCCTCTTCGTTTCGATTACTAGCGACTTATATGCTTTGGATTGTGTTGTTGTGCAATGTTGGATTTGTTGTGTATTGAAATTCCGTTTATTAATCTCTTTATATTATCAAGTTATTTGTGATGTATGATCCGGTAAAATGACTTGGCTCGATTTGTGTCTGGCAATTTAGAAATTGAATTTTAAATCATTTCCTGATGCTCATTGGTCTGTGAATTTAGAAGCAATTGACAAAAACCATCAATTTCTCACCTTACTCATAGGCAACACTTTTCATGATCATAAATTGCATGGTGGAATTGGAAGATGATAAATTTCAAGAGTGTTATCATTGTCATTCTTCCGTGGCTTGGAGGAGTTTCCTGAATCAGTCGGCTTACTAAGGCATCTTCATTAGAGTATCTGAACAAAAATTAAAAGGGTATGATATCAACCATGCATGTTTCAAAGATTTCAGTGAGGGCATCTGCGTAATATAGGTCTGCCTATGTATATTATTTTGAGTGTTTGAATGCTATGACTTCTTTCGCTCCTCCTCTTAGTGACTCACGCGCATCTATATTTCAGGGAATTAGCAATGGCGACCACTGCTTGTTTCATCATTGTTAGCAGAAATGATATTCCTATATACGAATCTGAAGTTGGGACTGCTACTAAAGTATGGTTCTTGGTTTTAAAATTTAATCCTTCCCCCCTTCCAATTTACTTTCCTGCTAATCATTGTCCATTTCCCATTTGTTGAAGCTGAAGGATCACTTGTGAATGCCTTAATGAAGTTATAGACAGACCTTTAGAAGTTAATAACTGAATGAAAATGTAATGAGGAATTTGGTTTACACTTCATTTGCACTGTCCAAATATTTTGGCTTTGTAAAATAGAAAAGGGGAGAATCTGTATGCAAAGAACCTAATTGCTGAATTACCATCAATTACTCTTCTACTCTTTCATGAGGTTGAGGTGTGTGGGGATTCTGCCAATACAATGATTTTATCCGTCCAAATATGTGAATGTATTCTTTTCTTTTCTTCTCTTTTTTTTTGCTTCTAATTGTGTAATTTCATGCTATTCAATGACAGAGAGAAGATGCTGCTCAGCTGCATCAATTTATACTGCATGCTGCTCTTGATATTGTCCAGGACCTTGCATGGACTACGAGTGCTATGTTAGTGACACTTTCTGTTATTTGTGATCTAGTTAAGAACTGGCTGTATGATTTGTGATTGGAGCTTTAAGTGTATTCTTTTCTAATAATTGGCTTGTCACTTCACATTCTTGAAGCAGGTACTTGAAATCAATAGACAGATTTAACGATCTGGTGGTATCGGTGTATGTCACAGCTGGTCATATCCTTTATGTTTGAGAACAAATTCGTATTTTTATTTTTGACATGAAAATTAACGGCTAAATACTGGATTTTAAGGACTCTGATGTTTTTCCATATACTTGTACTAAACATTTTCCCCCTATACCCCAACCCCTCCCAAAAACAAATGAGTCAAGGGTAAAAGACCCTTTAATTTTAGCTTGTAGGCTTCTCTTCATGCATGCTGGTTTACTTTGATATTTCCCTTGACTTATCATACATACCCGGTTCATGTTGCTTCATGACTCTCGGAATGATGATGGCATTAAGAGCTTTTTCCAGGAGGTGCATGAGCTTTACATAAAGGTAATACATTCCAAGACTGTCACAATCACAAATATGTTACTTTTCCTTGCTGCATTTGTTAATTGGCTTTAGAATATCAAACCATTTTGTAGCGTATTCTCTTGACGTGGGATCATGAGAAGATCTTGTGTTATGATTTACTTTATGCATGATGTCAGTAGCTGTCAGACTATTTTTGTGGGTTTATTGACGTTAAATTGACCATATTTTTCTTCTCATTCCAACTGACATTTCTATTTCTTTATAATGAAATATCCTATACATTTTTCTTTTTGAATTTATTGACATTCAATTAAGCATATTCTACTTGCCGGCCTAAAACAATGGTGAAGCCTCCAGTTTCCAACTTTTCATTTCGCTTTTTTTGTTGTTTTGGACGGCCTCAATAGATATCATAAATTTTATTTTGCCAGGGATTCAGATGAAAGCTGAATTTCATTAAAAGTTTTTTTTAAAAAATCCGTTCAACTGGTTTATTATTCAAGGACTCTGTTGTTTACTTTACCTGTGACTGTGAGAATGAACCCAAAATAGCTTTCCCGATATGGTTTGCTAGCAGGGTTTTCTTCTGCTACATCTGTTCGTTCCATGTGCTGTTATGATTGCCTATAATTTTATCAGGGAAAAAATATCTTCGATTTGTTCATGATGCTTAATATAAAAATACCCAGCTAGCTCTCTTCGTTGGAATCTTTTATTTCTTGATTTTTGAGACTCGTATATCATTTGCATGTTTGGAAATTTGCAGATTCTTCTTAATCCCTTGTATTTGCCTGGCTCTCGAATCACATCATCACATTTCGACACAAAAGTACGAGCCCTTGCACGAAAGTATTTGTAGAAGCCACCATTGAGCTATTGTGGTCTAAGGAACAACTTGCAAAATCAAGCCGCCTGAGTCGCACCATGTTCATTCTTCATTTAATTGAAATAGTTGTATTCACTATTATATATGATTTGGCTGTAGGTAACCGATGATGGTAGTGTTCACTTTGGATTGAGTGTATGGTTTAAAGATGTTATTTGGTGGCTCCCATTTGCAATACATGCTAAGTTCTAGTGTCTTATACCTGTTGATCCTCTTATCCTATGAGGAAACTAGGCATTTTGTGAATTGTGACCAAAGCATCAACCCTTTATCTTGTCTGGATTGTAAACAAAATTTTGGATTCTTTTGCTTTTAATATTTGGTTATTCGATAATGTCTACATGTGGAACAAAGTTTCTTTGGATCCGTTTTTTTTTTTAATGGCTAAAGTGTAACATTAGTTATCTAATTTTATATAACATTTTTGGTTTCTTAATTTTATAAAATGTTTTTTAGTCCTTTAACCCTATTTATTGTCACACAATTATATGGAGGATTTCATAGGCCAATTTAAACTTGGAGGTGGAAATAGGGAGGAAAAGGATAAGGTAAATATTAAATTGGTAATCAATGAGACTAATAAGAATTTTTAGCTCTATTTTATTTTTTCCTTAATATTCACTATTTTTTTAATCTATTTTCATCATTGTTTATTTTTTTTCTTGAACCTTGTATAACACACACACACTCTAAAATAAATAAAAATAAAATATAAAAAGTTATTAAAATGAAGAGAATGGAAGACATATTATTTAAAAATAGTAAAATTGAAATAAATGAAAATTATATCATGAAAAATATATTTATAAAATTTTTAATTACATATATTCAAATAAATTAAAATATGACACTTTACTTAAATTTTACATATTTTATAAAAAAATTTATCTAAAATTTTTAAGTTAAAAATATACTTAAGCATACGAATAACAGAATTCTTATTTATTGATCTGGAAAATTTTAAAATAATAACAAAAAAGTGAAAGGACGAAGCCTCTCTTAACGACTTTATAATATAAATGAATTTGATTTGATGTAGGAATAGTCTTGCTTTCTTTTAAGTTGTACTTTTGGTTTATTTTTTATTGCTTTTTTATATTAGTGTGCGTAACTCTTTTTTAATTATCAATAAAATGAGTTCCTTTTCAGTTAAAAATATATGATTAGGCTTATATATATGTATAATACATAAACTCGAGTCTTATGCTTTTTTTGAAGAAAAAAAGATTAAATATATTAACAATAGGAAAAGCAAATGAAAATCATAATGTGAAAGACAGACAATGAAGATTAAAAGAAATTAAATGGTGGTTTAATATAACAGAGCCACACTTCAAAATCTAATAACTAAAAAACCTATTTAGGAGATGTTTAATATCTTGGACCATTGGACATTGACTTGTGGGAGATAAGAAATGGTCATTGTTGAACTTCTTGTGTTTGATTTTTAATTTATATCTGGCAAAAGCATATTTGAGGGTCCAATTAGTTGTTGGATTTGCCAAAAGCATATCCTAGATGTGGTTTGAATTTATTTTTGAAGGTTATCCAGACATGGAAAAAAACCATCCTTCCCAAGTGCATAGTATAGCCATATTGATTCATCCAAAACTTGGATATCCAAAAGAGCAAGCCTCTGATGCATATTGCCGTAAAGAATTCTGGCATAATAGAGGTCGAACGCACAAACAGAAGTTGTTGAAGGTTTTTACCATTAAAAGAGATGTCCACAGAACAATAAGTATTTTTCTTTTCCTGAATTTGCAGATTTAGATCTCCCATATAGATGAATGAGCTTGTAAATCCAATGATTATCGAATCGAATCCTCAGTGATAGAACTTTGCAAGTCTTTAATAAGAGGAATAGATTGTTGATTAATGTTCTAGTTACAAGCAACCTTCAAGAATTGTAATTCTTCTTTCAAGTTTTAAATGAATTGCTCAACTGAGACACCTTCTCCACCGTGGAGAAGTTGATTTCTCCTATACCAAATTTTATGGAGCAGGGTAAAGATACCCTTTAGCAAATATGTTTCCTGGTTTTGGTATAAAACCTTCAAAACTTGAAGAATCCAGTTAATGAGTCCAAGCTCAGAGATAGTGGCAGATTGAATAGATGAAGTACCAAACCAAAGAGCTTTAGAGAAAGGGTAGTTACAAAAAACATGGTCAATGGTTTCTTACACACCACAGCAAAAAACACAAAGATTAGAAAAATTAAGATGACAAGCCCTAAGAATATCACATGTTGGAAGTGCATTATGAATCAGCTTCCATATGAAGAGCAAAGTTTTATGAGGTAGATGTAGCTTCCACAAAAAGTCCCAAATATTTTTATTTGCATAAGGGCCGCTAGAAGTGCCAACAGATATCTCTAAAAAACCTCCTTTCACTGTGTATTGACCTTCACCCAAAAGAACTCTATCTTTCATATCAGTGAAGGATATAGGAGTGTTAAGAATAAATTTGGCAACATCCTCATTATATAGTTTAGTGACAATAGAAGCATTCCAAGAAGCAGTTGTCCAAAATTTGGGGTTTTTAATAAAGAGATTCGAAACCTTTGTTACATTGAGATATCTCAATATGGCTGTCCGAGTAGATTTCCACCAGTAGTTGTGAGTGAGAGGGATAGAATCACCATTATCTACTTTCCTGCATAGGTTTTTCTTTATAATATCAGTTGTCTTGTAAATTCCTTTCCAATACCAGGATACATTATAAGGTAACTTGAGATACATGTTATCTGATGCATCAATGTATTTGAGTTTACATGTGTTATCAAGAAGGAGTGCTCCTCAGCTATCATTACTCACCAATTTGTTTGGCTAGAAGGTAAGCATTCATCAAACTAGTTTTCCTCAAACCAAGCCCTCCAAATTTGATTGGGCTAAAGAGAATATCTCTCTTAGCAAGATGAATGTTCCTCTTTTAATCATTGTAGTCTTAGAAAAAATAAGTCAATTCAGAGTCAATACACAAGTATGCATGAAAATTTTTATTATTATTTAATCAAAATAAATTTACATTAAGTTAAATAAACATTTTCAATTTTTGTTTATTTTTAATATCATGGTAATAATAATTTTTCAATACAATATATCATTTATTAATGCTGATGCAATTCCCGAGGAGGATCTTTGTTAGTTTAACTTATAGTGAGCATTAATGCATCCCTCCAACATACTCTTTTCCTTTAAAAATATAAGATTTATTTTTAATCGAATCACACCTCTCAATAAAGTAGTTACTTATTTTTAAACTAATTCTATTTTTTCATATTTATTCCTATTAAATACCCTAAAAATTTAAAGTAATATATTCAATAGGGGTACTTTAAAAAAAATAATTACACCTTAAAAGATTTAAAATGACTTACATTTCTTAACATCTAACCTCACAAAAAATGAGTTATATTTTTTAATGAAGAGAGTAATTAAGAAGATAAGAGAGAGATAGTGTGAGGGATTTTAAAATACCATCCGCTATATTAGATGATGAGTTAAATGTTCTTCTTTATCTTTTAGCACAAAATTTTTCCCATAACTCTACTTGTTCTTAAATTAATTTTTTCATGCCCAAAAATATGGACTTATCGTGTAACTCTTTTGATTTTAAGACTTCGTTTGCTTAAATTCCTCAAGCTCAATTTAAAAATTTGCCTAATTTTATTTATCAAAAATAAAGATTTATAATTATATAATATCTTTTTTAAGGTTGATATCACAAAGATCCCTAAACGTTGAATCATGTTAAATCAAGCACGATAACTTTTAACTATCATACGAGTAACAACCAAAACCAAAACAAAGCAATATCTAGTTGTATTGACCCCAATCCAGTGTTCAACTAGTTCATTTGCAATTAACAAAAGTAAACCGGAAAAGACAATTCAACCGAAGAAACTATTTGAAAATTATAGATCTCACACGAGTGTAAATAGCAGCAAAAGAATAAACATACGAAAACTGAAATCAAGAAAGGGAAACACTATGCTAATCTTCTTTTCTTCTTCAAAAGGCGTAGAGAATCCTCTGTTTGAAGCTGCTTCTTTAAATGATATAAAGAAATATCTGTTTCACGTGTTATTTCTCGTACAATCTTTAGCTCTGCCTTTAAATCCTCGTAACTCCCTCCTCCATGCATTGTTTCTTGACGCTTCACGTGATCAGATAAAGTTGCCTCTGCTTTTTGTTGCTTATGATGATGATATCTAAACGCCACCATTTGATGTGAAATTTCTTCTAAAATCTCACCCTCTTTGTGTATATCTTCAGGACTACTACTGAATGCTTCAATTAAAGCAGAAGAAAAAGGTTCTTGTGCTTTCCTCTCCAGTTCTTGAATAAAATCCTCTTTCGACCGTTGCATCAACATCTCTAGCTCTTGTCTTAGCTCTTTATTCCTCCTCCTTCTCTCCCTTATCATTGACATAAAATTGTGATGGATTGGAGAAAAGATGCAATAAAATAAATTAAATTAAATTAAATGAGAAATCTTACCACGACTACAAGTTGATAGACCTAACCTAAATATCATGATTTTCTTAATAAATTAAATCTAAGTAAGAAGATAAATTCTATTTCTTGAAATTCCTTTCAATTATCGACTGTTGATTCAGTCCATAAAATTCGCTCCAAAATAACTTAATAATTGTTTACTGAGCAAACGAATTATAGGAACTCAATGTAATTCATGAACGGTTTGTTATCTATATATGTCGAGAAACACATTAACTTTAATAATCAAACAAATAAATAGATCAGTGACTAATACCTCCCGCTTATGTTCTTCGAGTCGCCGGCTTTTAGATTTCTGCCTCCTCTGAGTCATCTTTATGACACCATTCACCTTCTTCGAGTTTGAGATGGAATAGTGATCCATCGGTAACAATCGCTATATGAGAAACAATTCAAAATGAAGAACCGTATAAATAAAGCCTCTTTAAACTGAGATTAGAACTACAATATCAATGCCTCCTATTTATAATATAAATCTCCCAAGATAAATAATTTGAAATTTTTAACGCAAAAATAATATGATATATCTTTGGAACATGAGATATGATTTGACCTTATATTCAAAATTAGAATCTCAACAAAACCATGCATAACGGTATTAATTTATATTAAAAAAATTACACTTTTCTTTAATTCCTGTTTTAATTGTTCATTTTGTATTTTAACTTATTCCTAAATTTAAAAGAAACACATCTAACCTCGTTTATCCAAAATATAATTAGGTTCTTTTGGGAACAAAATTCTCATAAAATAAACAAGAGAAAATATTAAAATTAAAGGATACATATTAAAAAATTAATAAACTAACCATCATACTCTTTCCATTTTGAAGTAATACTTTTTTTTAAAAAAAATGAGATCTTGTTTTTTCGAATTCAATTATTTTCATACCGAACTCGATCTTCTCAAATCTGCTGAGATATAGCAAATAATCTTTTTTTAGAGCAAGAAAATGCCTTCTTGGCAGGACTCGAATTTTGAGGTAATTATATTAATTTTTGTTAATGATATTATTCAAATTTGTTATCATCCATCAATCATCAATTTATATAATCAAATATGGTTGTAGGAGAATATTCGTTGGTCCATCATTTTATTATCACATCCTTTTTTTATTTAAATTTAAATTTGATCTTCAATCTCTGGAATTATAATATAAAATAATTGTATTTTGAACTATTTGTTGTCAATAGTATTTTCGATCATCATGAAATACAGAATGAAAAAATTATTTAATAGATTATTCAAATATAATTTTTTTTGCTACTTCAAATTTCAATGAATATCATTCTTATTTTATTCTTTTTTTTAGAGGATAATTATCTGTAGTGTCATATCGTATAATCATGCGAGGCATATCGTAATCTAATAATAATTTTTTAAAAGATTCATTTTAAATTTTAAGAACTAAATTAGTTAGATTAGCTTAGATAGACTATGATATTTCTTATTTATGTGAATAGGAGTATAGATATGAATAAGATTCCTTTTTTACTACCATAAAATTTTAAATTACAAGCTTATGAATTAATTTATTTACGAATTAATGGATTAATAAATAATATAATATTGTATAGTTGTTTATATATTTCTTAACCAAGAAGCAAATTTTGGCCAAGAAAAAAATCAAGAAGCAAATTTTACTTAAAAAAAAGTAAAAAGTCCAAGAATTCCATAGGCCCAGCACACTAAAGAAATATAACAATCATAATAACAAATTAATGAGAATACTCATTGGAAGAGATTAAATACTCACATTTAGTGTCCAATCATATTTCAAATGTGATTGCCTCAAGTAGAAGGACACTGAGAAAAAAAGACAGGAAGAAGCACAATCATAGCACACAACTGGCATAGAGATAAAAAATACAACCCAAAAACAGAAACCAGACGCACAACAAAAACGAAAACCCATAATTGCAACAAGAAAGAAATCATTCTGTACGTAAAAGTGAATTAGTACATCCATCAACCTAATATACAAAGGCGCAAATTTCAGAGAAGTGAACCCTGTAAGTATGAGTAGGAAATGCTTCTAAACCTCCCTTCTTTTGAACTCGCAAGGGAGCTGAGGGAGTATGAAGTATTATGTAAACAATAGAGATTTGAAGGCATTTGTATTTTCTTGAACCAACTAACGAGGATTAAAACAAGGTTACTGCACACACTTGTGAGACATGATTTTCTTCAATAATAAAAACCATGGGATGTCGTACCCTTAATTTAGCTTCCTTATGAATCAATAGATACTAGTTAAGTTCGAGTCCTTGAAGAACAAGTGGAATAGTCCCTTATCAACCATAGAATAATGGCTATCTCCTGATTTCAACGGTTGGCAGGCAGGCTAGTTTTTGATTTTAACAGTAATCAGCCAATACCATATGTTATCATTACTCTTCTTCTTAAGTGAACTACCATAAATTATAATACCATGCATATCAATAACACATGGTATGCAATTTTCTTAACACAAAACTCATCACATCATATTCATCATTAGCACAAACTTAATCTTGCTCAAAATGCGTCGAAATTTAACATTTTCCTTTTTCTTATACACCCACATATATATGCTCTCACTTTTGCTCACGACATTAGTCATTCATATACATATATGTTTACAAATAACAAGCTCACTAATTTCATTATATTAAGTTACTCACATTGCCGCAATTTGTATCAAATATAGATTTACATCCATCAATTGGTTTTTAAATAATTCTTTTTAACAAATAATTAATTAACAAGCAAATATATAAACTAATTTTTTTTTTAGTTACCTCAAATCTTCAAGAGGTTAAAAGTTTACCTTTCAAAATAAACACTTTCAAAGCTTCACAAAGCTGGAATGGTGCCAATGATAGTTAATTTACAATTTTATCATAAGGATAATAATTAATATCCCTATTAGCATAAATTTCAACACTTCCAACTCACTAAAATCACAACCTTACTTCCAAACATACCCATTGGGTTTATTAACCTCCTTTAACTCACATTATCCCCAATACACCATTAAACTACCATTGATGGCATTTAAAACCTTCAAGCACCCTCATAAATGCCCAGTTTCAACCATTAAGGCCTCCTCCAACCAAATACTTAAAAAAATCATCAATACTTAACCTAAATAATTCCCATTAACTCTATTTAAGATAATGAGTTTAGATTCATAGCCATTATGGATCGAAAATCAATATCCCAACATAAATCCTAACTTAACTCTTCAAGAAAATATAAGAGAAAGGGAGGAACAAATGAAGTTCACTTGCCTTGGGTGTTAACTAGCCCTAATTTGCTTTCAATCCTTCCAAATATTAAGCACTAATCAAGCTCCACATGCCTTCCTCATTTTCTCTTTTTTTCGCTTTTCTTTATTCTTTCACAATTTGTCATGGTCTTAATTTTGCAAATTTCCAACTGTAACATCCTAAAAATTTTAAGACTCGGATTTATTTTAAAAATAAAATAAAATATTTATAATTAAATTAAAATTTAGAATAATTTGATAGAGGTCTAGAATTTGAATTTTACTAAGCAAAAGTTTGGTTTTATTTGATTTTTAACTATGGAAAACATTACCAAAGTTGACCCGGGCTTTTGTGCAATAATAAAAAATGTTGGGCCATTTCTTGTAATTTTTCCCAAACTTTTGGATCAGTAATTTTAAAACCAAAATGATTGCAGAAAACGCAGAAAATGAACAAGGAAAGAAACACACAAATGGGAGAGAGAGAGAGAGAGAGAGAGAAGAAGAGAGGAGAAAGAGAGGGAGTTAGGCTTGGATTTAGGAGTCTTTGCGACCGTTGCGAGCTCGGTTACACGATAGGTAAACTCTCTACTTCAATCTTCTTCCCTTTCTCTTGATTTTCTTTAATTTTTGGAAGAGAAAATTTTTAGATTTTGATCCCAAAGGCTTTATTCTTGTAAGCTTTTATTTCTTTGGATCCTAGGGAGCATGTTTTAAGTTTTTATATAGTGATCTAATGTTTTGAGTGGATAATTGGATGAAAAGAGGTGTTTTGGGCACAAAATAAACCTTGAGAAATTGGGTTTTTGCTCCTCAATGGTTTAAGCCTATTGATTTAGTTATAATTTTGCTATTTGAGCCCAATAAGATTTAAATTAAAGTTTGGTTTTCATTATAAGGGCTAATGGTGAAAGTTGGTGGCACTAAGTAAAGGTTTTTAATTGATTAAAAAATTATATAAATTGAAAATTAGCCTAGTGATGGCTAATAAATAGTTTTGGTGGTTAAGTGATACTATGTGAATAGTTGGTTTAATATATGGACCATTGGGATGGATTATGGCTCATAGACCCAAGTTGTGTGGTATGAGTTATAGTCTTCATTAATGCTATTTGACATGATAAGTGATGTGGATCACTTATATGTTGTAGGGATTGTTGGTGGAATTTGTTCGGAAGTTAAGGAATAAGCCAAGTTTTATTTTGTACAAAAGGAACTCTTTTGATACCAAAGGGTTGAGGTAATAGGGAAATTTATATTTCTTATTATTTTGTTTTAGCTATTTTTGAATAAATATTACTAGCTATCATGCATTATATGTTTTAAAAGATTAAATGTGCTTTATAAGGGGTTATGGGGTACTACTTTAATTATAGTACAAATATGTTTTTTTAATTGTTTAATAACAATGTTTTTATGGAAACGAGATTTATAAATGTTATACTACTTTAGAGTATTGAATGGTCAATACTCAGGAAAGATAGACAAGAGTAAAAGGTATGATCTTGATGGGAGTTCACCAATGAGAAGGTGTGGATTTTTGATATTTTATGGCACACTGTCAGTACTCAGTGTTGTCTTACGTATTGTAGGCTCAGTGCACTAAAGTGGTTAGTGTATTGAGTGTTCGACACCTCTCAGTGGGGGAGGAAATCTGACATATGAAGTGTGAGGTTGAGTGCCTAGGCCAAGGTAGCCCTCACATGGAGAGTAAGTCGGGTTGGCTCTGGGAGGGAGTTAGCTTTGACTGCTCAGGATTCACGTCGAAGGGGCATAGGCGGTTCGGTGGATTAGATCATGCCTTAAACTATGCTTTGTGCCTGTAGAGGTACAAGTAGGTATAAGGTTTACCTGCGAGTTAAAGAGTGCCAGGGGGCATTCTGTTGGTCATAAAAGGCCATACCGGCCTAGGTCATGCGTTCATACATTTTAAATGGCTAAATTATATACTATGTTGAATTTATTATTCGTTTATTTGATTATGGCTTACTTTGTAATAATCAATGTAGATTTCTCTATTACTGAGACTGTGGTTGTCTCACCCCTTTCTTTTCAATATTCTAAGTCCAGGCGAAGGATCCAGTGGTGGACGGGGAAAGGAGCAAAGCTAGGAGTTTTCTTGTGATTTGTAAAGAACTGCAACCCCTTTCTTTTAAGCA